TGCAATGTCAAGCTGCAGTTTCTAAAGCAAGCAAAATACTTTCTTGTATTAGGAGGGGTATAGACTCCAGAGACAATCATCCTGCCCCTGTACAAAGCATTAGTAAGACCTCATCTGGAATATGCAGTTCAGTTTTGGGCACCAGTTCACAAAAAGGATGTTGTGGAACTGGAGAAAGTGCAGCGAAGGGCGACCAAACTCATAAGAGGCATGAAGGAGCTCAGCTATGAGGAACGATTAGCTGACCTGAATTTGTTCTCTCTGGAGAAGAGGCGATTAAGGGGGGACATGATCACCATTTATAAATACATAAATGGTCCATATAAAGAACTTGGTGCCAAATTATTCACGTTAAGGTCACTGCAAAGGACAAGGGGGCACTCTTTGCGTCTGGAGGAAAAGAGGTTTAACCTTTGCATACGGAAAGGATTCTTCACAGTTAGAGCTGTGAAAATGTGGAATAGACTCCCCCAGGAGCTTGTTCTAGCTAGCTCGGTTAATTGTTTTAAAAAACATCTGGATGTATTCCTAAATGCACAGAATATTACTGGATATTGAGTTCTTAGAGGTATATTAAGCATCAGAGATTGTTGATCCAGGGAATATCCGATTGCCTTATGGGATCAGGAAGGAATTTTTTCCCCTGTTGGAGCAAATTGAACCATGCTTTATAGGGTTTTTTTTTGCCTTCCTCTGGATCAACATTGGGTAATTGTGGGCATAGTGTTCTGTTTAGGCTTTTCTTCTTTTTTTTTTCTTTTCTTATCTCTATAGGTTGGACTCGATGGACTTGTGTCTTTTTTAAACCTGACTAACAATGTAACTATGCCAAAGTTCTGCCAATTTGGGTAACTGCTGTACATAGACCAGCTCAAATAGTATATGAACATCTTCATAGAAGAGAAAAAATATCTCGATTGACTAAGAATGCACCGATATATTGTCTGACTAAACATATCGGCCGAAAATTGCACTTTTGGCATAGATTTCTGGCCGATACAGCGGCACATCCCTGCTCAGCCTCCTGTGATAGCGTGTCAGGAAGGAGAGCGAGTGCAAACACTCAGCGATCAGTGATCGCTGTGTTTGTAAATAATTGAGGACAGAGTATGGTTACCATATCCTCAATTATGAATAAAAGGGAAGTGATCTACATCACCTCCTGTTCATAATTGTGGTTATAGTAAACATACTATGTTCTCATGTTATAAATGAACAGGAACACTCAGTATAGAGGATTCCTGTTCATTTATAACAGAGGCATCAGAAAAAGAGATTGAGGACTGTGTGTCCTCAATCTCTTTTTCTATTTTAAAAAGAAAATATCACGTGTCTGTTTAGACCCCCAATATTTCCCCGAAGCCCCTAAACGTAAAGTAAAAAATAAAAATATATAATAAAGAAATGAATAAATATAGTTTATATAAAATATTAAACAACTTTTGAAAAAGTTAAAATAAAAAACATTTCCAGTTTCGGTCTGACTTTTTCATTTCAGTTTCGTTTTTGACATTTTCATTTCGGTGCACCTCTACCATTGACAGAAGAATAGAAAATCATCTAGAAAAAGCATCCAGCGGCATGTAACCCACATGTCCATGATTTCTATATATCTGTGTGCCTCAATGGAAGTTAAATTCTAATATCCAACAAATATATGAACACAGCAGCTGTATCATGCTGTTACCTGCCAGTACGTGCTCTATAAACAACGAAAAAAGGATAAAAGCACACAGCAAATGTATTTTATGCATATATTTGTTAGTCCACACAATCTATCTCATAGAGTTGACATTAAGCAACAGAAAAAACGTGTTTCCAAATAAATGTCATGGATCCACTGCTCATGACAATGTCATCAAATTCCCAATGAACTTGCAAAGCTGCAAATCTGCCCATAGAAGATTCTGCTGAAAAGAAAAAAAAAGAAAAATCCACTATCAGAGCAGATCTGTTGCTAATAACTGCATCATTCAGTTCTCATTGAGCTTCTCATAGCTGATGCAAACTTATTTCCAGGATGCACACCGGTCTCATTGAGTTTTAAAATTTTCAAAACTGCGTTCAACAAATATCCATAAAGCACTTTCCACTACAAGTGCAAACCGTTCTTGCTGCATTTTCTATTGCTAATGCAAACCTATCTCCAGGTATAATTATTATGCACTGATCCACTGCTAGTGATAACATCACATAGTTTTCACTAGGCTTGCAAAGTTTCATCTGTGTGTGCATTGGCATATATCCATAAATAGATATACTGGATAAAAGAAGCATTTTCACTGTAGATGCAAGCACTCTAATGTCAAAGTCCACACCATTGTGTTGCAATGATCATCCAATAGTAAACTTGACAAAGTGGCAACCAACTAAATACACATGTAAAATTGTGTAAATGTCCATTGTTAGCAGCAGTGTCACACCAGTATTCAGTAAAGGATTACATTTTCGCACATGCAAAAAGGTGTACAAAAGAATGTCCAAAGACTTCCAGTTGTCAACTAATGAATACACTTGTACCAACGAGGAACAGAAGAGTCATTCTAATATCACTGATGATCTATTTAATAATCTCAGTAGTGCTTTTTAACTAATAATTAATACAAAATTCCCCTGAGAGAAGCACATTACCGAGATTTTTTGTATATAATTTCATCACATAATTTTATTAATCCATCGACAATTCTTACATCCACATTTAAAAAATCGCACTTTATAAATAAGAACTTATTTGGAAATGGAAATTATTTGGAAATGCATATCCAAAAGTTGAATAGCCTGCGGACCCAGTTCATTTATAAACATGTAGTTTGTTCGTTAACTTTCTTGCAATGCAGATAGCCAGGCTTTTTTCACAGAGCACATATTAATGTATTAATTGTATTCTGCTATATGAAGTATATCTTTGCATGTTAAAGATATACCAATAGTTCATGTTTGATTTGTATCCACATGTGAGTATATCTAAAATAGCTTAGCTGCCTGGTATATCAAATGTATCTCTGTACGTTAAAGATATCTCAACAGTTTGTGTTTGATTTGTATTCACATGTGAGTATATCCAAAAAGCTTGTTTGTCCTCTTAAGTACAAAATAACAAACAAACAAAGTGCTGTAATGCAAAGCGGCTATTGGGATTCATTTTCTCCAGCAAATTGGAGAAAATTCTACATATATTCTCATTGTTAATAATTTGCTGGAGAAATTATGAATCACACAATGTGAATTTACACTGTGAAACAACTCAGAAGACAATGTGATTGTAATTGCTAGGACGCTGGCCGCTGCCTGTGTCCTTAGTGGTCTAAGTGACTATAAGCATACTGTTGGCAGCAAGGATAGAGATTAAGTGGAGAGGTATGGCTCAAATGGATAGGTCTGATAGGTATGTAAGGAAGGATTTATAAACCAACCAGTATGCGGGGTCCCCCCCAAAATCCATACCCCTATATTAGATAGGAATCTGGTATGGCTTTTAACCCTTTTGCTGCCATGGCGGGTTTTTCTTTGCACACGTTACAATCCACATTTGACTGAAAACCCCTGAAAATTACCCAAGAGTTAAAGATTTCCTGAAAGAAAAGACCCTGTAGAATAAAATGGCAAACAGTTAAAAATTTTAAGCTGCATGATATAAGCGCAACTCCCATCAAACCCAAATTTTCAGTAAAATTACACTGAAATTTAGTGCACAAAAACACAATATAATGACCATTTTGTATGCCGAGTAAATAGATACCCATCATGCCAGGCTTAAAAATTGCATGTTAGTGTCAAACCGCAACAAAATCCAGTACCCCAAATTGTCCATGGCAACTCTTTAAAAGCCTGTGCAGGTCATCAGTTTAGAGTTAACCATGAATATTGGCCCTACAAATATTCCTCTCACTTTTGTACGTAGGAGGACCCGATGTGTGTTTATGTTAGTATGAGCACGTTCAGGGGGGACTAACATTTTATTTGTATTTTAAAATGTATTTTATTTTACTTTTTTTTTTTTTAGAAAAAACTTTTTTGTCATATCACAGTGGAGGTGACAGGTTCTCTTTAAGGAGATATTAGGGGTCTATTAGAGCCCTAGTGTCCCCTTTTCCACTGCAAAAAAGCTATTCAAGCGCAGTGCCTGTAAAGCAAAGCGGTGGGTTTCGGGCAGGTGTGCGGAGTCTTTACCGGTCCCCTAAAGTGATCTGGCCGCAGGTCAGCTGCCAGAATCACTTCCAGTGACCATTGGCTTTACACAACAGAGTGGAGATTGGCAACATTATCCCTGAAAGTTTAAGGAGACACTCGGTAATCGTTCGTGAGCGTCGACACCGTACCTGTCTTCCTTATTATTCCGGGTGTGTGGGATGGTTTTAAAACACTTTAAGATACTATGTGTCTTCATCTTGTTTTCTGAATGTGGTATTACCAGAGAAGTCAAGAGATAGCTTGCTACTGGTGAAGCATATTATTGTCCCCACAGTGTGTGGTAACGCAAAAGTGACCACACTAAAATACTATGGTTAAGGTCCTAATTAGAAGGTGAGCAGAACTAAGTGTGGATACAGGAGCCAGGTTTTGCACAGAAAGTTCATCCATTGATCACCTGGATGTGTGAAGCACTGGGACACACCTATGATAATTGGATCACTTCACGGTGTTATTATACGTTTCTACAGGGGGCTCTATATATAATATATCTTGTTTATGGACACTTTTTGTATTGGTTGTTGTAGCATGGTATATCCGTTTTGAATCACTGTTTTCTATAGCATTGCACTATTATGATAAAGACCCCTGATTAAGTCAGATGGCAACCCAGCTAAAAAAGGCTGCTAAAGGTCCCTAAAGAAACCTCACTATTCCTTGGTAAGAGGATAAATCTCATCTCCAGCCACCAGACATACGCCTAAGTGGTTTGGGCAAAAAAATTTGTGGTGTTTAAGCCAAGATATTATGAGACAAAAGAGATCCACCATGAAATGGCAGGTGCAAACAAGAAAATTTCCTTTTCTTACCTGTACTTAGGGATTCCTTCACCTTTACAGCACAGAATGGTTGACATGGTTCTGACTGACCTGGCATTGGGCCCAGCTCAAATGAGTTAAAGGCAATCCGCAGGAAAGGAGCCATGATGCTACCTGAAATAGAAAAAAAAAGTCAATTTTACATCTCAGAAAAAACAGGCAGGCATTCTATAGAATGCTATTTTTAAAAAGTTAGTTTTTTCGCATTTCCCCTTTGCGCTTTAAGCAGACAAGCGAAATTGTTTTACACATCCAAAGATAAACAGAGGATTAACAGTGCATCAGGTGATGAACACAGGATAAAAAAAAAGTTACTCTAGGTAGAGTCCTAATGTAGAGATAAGAGTCTGTGTTAAATCTGCCAGAATGAGATGGTCACCAATTATATTACAGCTACACAAAACAGAACAGTAAAGACAAAAAGCATTTACCCACACTATCCCTTGCAAATCATAATGATATCATAAGAGTGGGTATAGACTATACCCAGGGTTTAAAGGGGACGTTGAGAATACAGTAAAACTAACAGTAAATAGCTTTAAAAAGGTATTTTTAAAAAATGCACATACATTAAATGAAATAAAATGCATATATTATTTTTTTTATTTGAGCCTGCATCCACAGTCAGTGGATCACATATACATGGGGGAATAGTCTGTGAGCATTAAGCGCAATGCGCTGGGCTTATTGCCGGCGAACATCTATGCGCATTAGCGAAGCAGAGTCCACATAACGAGAGATACATAATATATTTCTATTGCGGCTGCGCTATCCTTTTTGGATACATATCTGCTTTTATGAGAAGACTTTGACTAATGCCTTGCTGGTGTACTGGTACCATACATTGGCAATAGCATTAGCAATGTCTCCGCAGATAGTCTCAAATCTGTAAGAACAAATAGAATGATCTTAATAGATACTGGTCATCCTGAGCAGTGTTGAATAGGGTCCATGCTGGCTAAGATGGGGGATGCGCATACATGTGACTGATTGTTTACTTTGTTTAACAAGGGTGCGCGCATTTGCGTGCACCAGCGCAAGTGAGTCATGCACATTTCTCTGCGCATCCATGTTGGTGCACTCCCCTTTTCTTTTGTTATGTAACTGTACATTTTGGGCTGATTGGCTGATGTTGTAAAGCCATCTCCCTCTGGGCGTTATCCTTTTGCCTCTTAATAAACAGAGTTGCTCGTGGCCAAGGCAAGACTTACACACTGAGCCTCCAGCATGAACCAGCATCTTGTCTGACTATCTGGCACTACTGAAGTACTATACAAAAGAGCTGAATACAACGTGCTTTACAACGTGCTTACAATGGAAATATTTGTGCTTGGCGCACCTTGATGCCGAAAGTGCGCCTTTTGGCGCAGTGGAGATTTGTGCGCTCAGCCCAAGCGAATTCCCATAACACATAAAACGTGGTCCAAAAGGTGGAATATTACAGCAACTCCAGGCAGGTATAAAATACAAAAATGAATGCAGCTTTGTTAGGTTTTTAAATGCATTTTTTTATTTCAGAGCTCAGACTAGGGGTAGGGAGAAGAGGCATAGAGTCAATCAATTATGCTTTAGTTCTAAAAGCATGCTAATAGGAGAAGACAGCAGGACAAGAGATGAGCTTGCAAGTCTTCTTTTTCTCCTTTTACTGTCCATTCACATGGTGTGGAAGAAACCTTTAAATATTTTGAACTGCAGCAGAGTAAAATCAGGTAAATTGTGCCACGCTCTCAAATAATGCTCCGTATCTAAGGCCTCGTTCACACCAGTGCGATTCTGGCCAGAACACACTGCATCGCATTGCGGCTGGCTCACTGTTGTGGGGCAGGAGGGGGCTGTCCATTGAAGTGAATAGCACCATAGCCACGCCCTCCGGCCGCAATGCAAATTAAATAAACATTCAAAGTCCCCCGTGCAGGTTAAAAAAAAAAAAACAGGGGGAGAGGAAGAATAGGCTGTGATGATAATGGGGGTGAGTCTGAATATTAAAAATAGAATTCTCTTGTCCCCCCCAGTTCAGGGCAAATGCCGGCCTTCATTTAGCCATTTGCCAGGTCCCTCCACATTCCACAGAACAGAGATCTGCTATCTGGCCTGTGATCTTTTATTGCCCCCCAGCAGAAGTGAGACCTCTAAGCCTTTTATAGCTGTCCCTAATTAAAGGCATGTCACCAGGCATTCATCTGTCACCAGTGGACAAGTTAATATAAACAAGCAGGTCTGGTAGAGGTAACGACCCAGGCGACCCCACATTCATCCAAAAGTCATCAACCTGAGTTACAAAATCAGCTCTATTTCATAATTTGGAATTGGGCGGTGATAGTATAAAATAAAGGTTCATCCTCAGCCTATTTTACATCCCCACCTCTGCCCTAGGGGGAGGCTCCTAAAGGTCTGACAAAAAGATGCTGAACCAGCTTGAGGTGGCTCTGGGTTTTAATACATCAAGAAAGAAACTAAGAAGTCTTAACCGCAGAAGAGTTCCCCTTTAATCTCTGGACATTATCTGCTGAAAGCATGCTTGAAGAAGAGCCCTGCAGAGTTTTTTGACTTATACAACTCTGAACTCTGTCAGAACTCCTAAACCCAAGACTGTTGAGTATTCACCTTTTATTTTGCCGTTGTATAAATATTTTGTCTCTTTTTATGTATTTCTTTTTCTGTATATTTTCTGCAACGTTTCTTTTATTAAAGGACGATCTTAAAAATCGTTAAGCTTATCTCTACGCTCTAAATACGAACTTAAACTATCCTTGCCTTTGTGAAGAGCGCTACTGTATAGTGAATCCTGTCATATTCCTGTCTGAGAGGACAGCGGTATCATAGGCATTGTTTAAGTGTGTTAAATTGGCACAGCACTTGTTGGGCACAGTGTATATTTCCGTTAAAAAACACATGGTGGCAGCGAACGTTTGTGGGTAAAGGGTTAACGGTGGAGTTAACCAACCCTGGTGATGATCGCTCTCAGTCTGCTGGCCTGAGATTGTGTCCCATGAGCTGGGGAATCTCTGTGCACGGTGAGGCTGAGAGTGGTATCGCCACGTCCTTGCGACACCCACGCTCGGTTCAGACTTGTGTATAGTCACATGTGATTGACGTACAGCCGGTTGGGGCAGGGCGTACGTCACACAGGCCGCCTAACAAGAGGCTGAGGCTGATCATAAAGAACAGAAGTAGAGCTGCAACAGTTAATCGATTTAGTCGATTAAAATCGACGATGAGCCCATCTGGCTGCCATGCGTGAAGTCTCCAGGAAAACACAGATTGGAAAAGGATCCAAAACATGGTGCAGTTCAGAGGAGACAGCGTTATAACCCATCCATAAAAGGGCTCAGGCCCAGAGGGTGGTCAGGGACCAGCACCTTGAAAAAGGCGGACTGATTCGGGTATGCCTCGGAGCCGCAGATTCCCACGGCGAGTTTGGTTCTCGGCATCTTTTTGTTTATTCTGCAGCTGCTCCAGTTCATCGTGTAGAGTCTCAACCTCCTTTTTATGGTCCTCAAGCACTGTGGTAGCATCATCCATGCAATGCTCCAAGGAGCAGGTGCGAAGGCCAAGATCTTTAATTTCTCGAAGAAGCTCCATGAAGAGCTGTTTGGAGGCTGTGGTGATTTTCTCCCAAATAGAGCGAAATTTGCAAAGTAAATGTCATCAATCGGTTTCCGAAGCAGGTAAGAGAGCTGAGGGGAACTGACCCAAGCTATTGTCCTATGAGGATGGATCAGCTGAAGAAAGCCTTGTGGTCTCATCCGGAGCAGGAGGTTCAGGCACCATCTTAAGGAGAGGAAGAGAGGGAGACTTCGATCTCCGGCATTGCTTAGCTTTAGATTTGGGCGGTTTAAGCATGCTGGAGATGTACCGCCAGTCCAGGGGGTCTCTGATGAGCCGGTGTTAAGAGCAGAAACTGGGGGTGTAAGCCCACGATGCAGGAAAAAGTGCTCAGGTGGCACAGAACTAGATCCCTGTACATCCATACAGGTCCACCAAATGCATGCTCCCCCTTCTCTACCTATTTTATGTGATACCCACTGTCCTACTTTATTCTTACTTGAGAAAGGCTCAACAGACCTTTGTCAAGTTTATCTGGGGTTCGGGGTGCTCTCGCCTTAATTACAAGATTTTATCTCTGCCCCAACGTAGAGGAGGGGCGAGTGCACCTGATCTATTTATATCAAGCTGCCTCAGTGTTGGTACGTATCACAGACTGGTTCCATCGAAAAAAAGGAAAGGGGTGGGTTCAGTTGGAAAAGATTATTGTAGATTCTGACCTTTAAGCTTTACCACTGGTGCACCCCAGTATCTCGTCATGTGCTCCCTGCTTTGGCTCCCCTTACTGTACATGCCTTACGACTGTGGGATTGATTTGTGTCCAAATGTTGGGTTTCTTCCTACGTTGGCCTCATGACACCTATGATAGTCTTTCAGGAGATGGACTAAGAATTCTCACAGGCATCTGATCTTGGCCTTACGTGACTCTTCCCCTGCCACCTTCGGTGATCAAGATTTTCTTCCTTTAGAAGGTCGATCTGACTCCTGAGGACTTTGGCTTGCCGACAGGCAAAGCCAATCTTTCTTATCGTTTCCCCAGCCGAAACGCCTTGAGGCAGATCATACAGCTTTCGACTATTCTTCTACAATCTTCGCCTCCGTACCATACTATCTCTCTGCTTTATTCTATCCTCTCTTCCATGTCATCCCCAGTTTTGAGGGATATACTTCTACTTGGGAATGAGAACTGGGGAGTATCCATCAGTGATGAGAATTCTGAGAAATCTTCCACACATTTCCATGCTCTTTCCGTACCTAGCAAATCTCAGGTTAAAAAAATCTGAAGATCCTGACCCGGTGGTACAAGTGCCCTGCAGTTCTTCATTGTTTCTATCCTACTGTGTCAGATTCTTGTGGGTGATAGCAGGACTCTCCTTAGTTGTATAACCTTAGTTGATTCGATTAGTTTATACATTTAGTTGCTAACAAAAAATGTTAGTGTGCTTCAAGCCAACAGCAAAAAAAAAAAATTCATAATGTGGAGTTTACTGTGTAACTGAAAAGGAACTTAGTAAAGCATTATGGTGTTTAGCAATAGGTAAAGCTCCTGTACAACTTAAAAACTTTGA